TGTACAATTGTACAATTTTACAAAAATACATTTGAAATCAGCAGCATCTTTAAGATGAATTGAGCTTGTAGATGGGTGAGTGACTAGGTGAAAATCTTTGACTATACTCCAGGAATATTAATAATAACCACTCTCATGATCATACCACCCATACAGAAAAACAAGGCATAGCCATTGACAAGCCTTGGGTGGAACTAATTCATACTAGGCCTACATGTAAATAATAATTTTTTTTTTTTTAGCAGTTTCAATTCATGTTTAAAATCAAGTACAGTCAAGTAATTGAACCATTGTGTCAAGTAAGTACCCTACACTTGTTGGTCACAAGTGTCTAAATCGGCAGTCTAAGCATGAAGCTGTTTGATTAAGATTTCCCGACGGAAGACTTGAAACTTTTCCTCAATGATGTCTATCTCATCTATTGTAAACGGTCCATGCCCATCAAGTGTCAGTGGCCCGGCAAACATCCAAAGTGAAGCCAGACACTCGATGTCGTCGGAACAGGGCCAACTGAATTTTCCTGTCAAAGCGTCGCATTTTAAAAACCTCATTCTGAAGTGGTCTCCCGAAACTGCTGAGCACGAACAACTTCCCAACACTCTTTCAACGTAGTACTTTGGAGGATCTTCATAAAAGACACTGTAGTAGGAATCTTTTTCTATGGTGACAACTGAAAATAAAATACTATTTTTAAGCCATGTTTTAAGGGATGCTGCTGCATTCTAGGCGTATCCTTGGACATGGTCTTCGACTAATGTGTTTGTCTGTGAAGTAAAAAATGCATATATTTTTGGCTGTTGGCATTGGACTCCAGGACTGTGCAGATGTCGAGAACTGACAATTCAACAGGTTCAATATCTTGGTTTCCAGCTTGGTCATCTGTAAAGAGAAGATAGAATGCACACATGTGTGAATATTTGACAAAGTTCAAAGACAGACAACCACAAGGTCAGTGAACTTACCAGTACTTTCGAGCTTCCTCCACAGCTCTTCGATTGTTTCAGTCAGTACTTTATCAGGCTCATTGTCCAGTGGCATATCAAAAGTTTCGAAGAGTTCATTTGTTGCAGTAGGCTGTTCGTGGTTCTCATTGTCGGCGATAGCAAGATCCTCGTTTTCCGGCACGTCGGAAGCTTTGTTGTATTCTCGAACCATTTTCATTGTACGCCGCTGCCAAGGCAGGACATACTTCGCATTTATGCAGTGCGCAGTGGGATTGCTCGACAAACAGCCATTGCAAGAGCACCCTAGCAACCGTGTATCTAGAACCCCTGGTTCAACACATTTGATGGAGTGTAAGGCACGAGTTCCTGGCACAGCAGTTTTACATCTCTTTCTGGGCGGGTCTTCTTAAAGTCACCATGTGCTGTGTAAAAAAAGGACAGTCTCTGTCCAGTACAACTGTCCTTGCACAGATTTACCTCACAGTAGTCAAACATCTCGTGGGCTGTGTTGATTACTGCAGATCGCGAGACAACTGCATGCCGTGCAGACGACACCACAACAGATACACCATCGCTCGGTCCCTTACCGCGTCGAGACCCGAAAAACATGCACTCAAAGTCAACTTCATGCA